TTCGCTTCCAAGGAAATTATTTCAGCATTATAATATACAACGAGGCAATTTTTTGTGTAATGCTTGTTAAGATTGTGCAGTAGATTTTAGTATACTCAGTTTGGCTCCTGAGTTTACCAGAATTTTTTAAAATCTGCTTAGAAATTGTCCGCATTTCATTCCGCATAACTTACTTAATAAAATAATGTTAAGATGCTCCGAAAACTTCGTTTTTACTCCGATTTTTCGAGTCATTTATTCCCGAATCGGGTTTCGGTAGTCTGAACGCTGCATCAGACCCAATCGCTTGGCTTCCTTATCCAACTTGGAAAAGGCAGAATCGACTTCACGGTTGTTGTTACCGATGATGTCAATGTCACCGGCATACGCCAGCATTACACGCTCATGTAAAAAATTATTTCTGTTGGGTTCAGTTCTGCAGATCTTCTCCAACATCTGATTAAAGAAATTACATGAAACGAAGGCTCCCTTTCTGAAACCCCGTTGGTAGCAAGCGGTCTTTTCCAATTCTGAAAGAGCAGGTGTTATAACTCAACGTCATTTTGCACAGCCGGTTCAATTTATCGGGGTTGCCGAATTCAGAAATCGCGGCGTGGAGGCAACTCCTGTTAGCGCTGGCGAAACGGCTTTGAAATTGACAAATAAGTGGTGAATGTCGATTCTTTTCTCGCGGGTCTTTTCCAAGATTTGGCGTATTGTGAATGGTGACAGGTAATAAGATCAACGGAAATACCCCGNCGAAATAAAGTCAATTGACATTATTAACTTTTTAAAAACGAAATAAAACCCATTGACATTATTTCTCTTTCAAACATTAAATTTACTTAGCTTCCCCGTCTCCCGCCGTGCTGTAGGGCAGTTAGATTTATTNCGTGCTGTAAGGCAGGTAGATTTATTTTTGTATACGTTGAAATAAAATTTTTATATATTTTAAACATCGAGGGCTTATATTCAATAATAGCCTCTATCTGCACACTTTTCACAAAGATGAGATTCTGATATAAAAATCCACCTAAGCTTTAACTGTCATCAGTGATATTAATGCTACCTTATATAACGACAGGTAATAAGTCCCAGATGGTTTCTAAAATCACAAATTAGTTTTTGTGCAAATTGCAGATAGAGGGTATAATGAATTCAAGCCATCGATATTTCACATTTTTATATTTGTAAGTTATGGGAAGAAGGGATGCCAACTTGACTCAAACCGTGCCATTTGTCCCTATTTTACTTCAAATGGCACTTAATTTGCGTGCTCTTCTTTTTCTCAACTAAAATTTTCTAATTTATAAAGGCTATTCAACAAGTTTATCTTATTTTATCATTGCACTTTGGTTTGGAAAATGTAGCTTTATTTTATTGCTAAATGTGAATAATTAAATGGAATGACACCTTTTTTGGCACTTTTATTTTTCTATTTGGCACATTTTGGCACTTTTTTATCCTCAATATGGCACCTCATAACTAAGGATAGTTGGCAGCCCTGATTGGAAGATTTCTGCTGTGTTTTGGGGCAACAACTTGTCTGCAGTAAAAAAGCATATAATTTGTGTTTCAAAAGGATGTGAAAACCAATCTTAAAACTTATGTATATGATCTCGGTTCCGATATTAAATAATCAATAATTGTTTATACCCGCGTTTTGGCACAATGGCTCGTTGAATGTGTCATCTAATAAATAGTGTCGTCGTTCTCCTTAGCTGCTTTTAAATGATGTCGTCACAAATTGCTGGCGGAGACATGAATTCAGTGTAAGAAAATTCGTTTTATATAATTGTTTCCTTATAGAAAGGTTGGTTTCTTTTCCACCTTAGACATTCCGAATTCGTTCAAAATATGCTAATTTAAAACACAGAATTCTTTCAGTGTTCCTCCGTGGTTTTTTACATGGACTGTTTCTTCAATTTAATAGTGTTCGCTTTATTTTTGTGGAAACGAAACATGCTTTGCAAGTTATGGATCATTTCTACACTCTTTCTTTAAATATTTCTCGTATTTCAGCTGTGCGCAGGCATTTAGTTTTTCGCATCGTGTTTTTACATATTCGAAATTTAAATTTTTTTAATAAAATCAATTGGTGGTAGTTAATTATTGTGTGTGGATTAATATCACAACACTGAGGATTTGGCAATAACCTTTTTCATCTATTAAAAAACAACACTTACGGGGCGATGTTTATTGTAAGAACAAAATTGTTTCCTTTGAATCGACATACTTTAAGCATTGTTGACGATATTTCCATTTGAATGAGGAAATAGCGTCAATGACTTTATTTCCAAATTTTTTAGACTTTATTTCGCTTTTGAAAAAGTAATAATGTCCACCCTGGTGCGAAATAAAGTCAATTGACCTTCTTTCCGTTGATCTTGTTACCTGCACCATTGTGAATACCTGGTCTTAGGTAGATCTAAAGCCACACTTGCGGTATTTAATTAGGAAATGTTGTTCCACTACTCGCATATGTCGGTTTGTTGAAGAGCTCTCTGAAAGCAGGTGTAATAGTCGAGTGGCAATGCATTAGCCATCTGTTGTTATTGCAGTTTTTCGACGTTGAGCTTTCCTTGCATTGCAGGGCGCACATTTTTTTCTGCACAGCGGACGATTCATATCTTGGCTGCAAAAAGATAGTGGTCCGAGTCAATGTTTGGGTCTCGGAGAGTACGTGAGTCTAAAATACTGGAAGCGTGTCTTCCATCTATCACAACATGATCGATTTGGTTTATCGTTTTTTGATTTGTAGACAGCCAAGCTTGATGGATCTTTTTATGCTTGAACCTTGTACTTCATACCACCATGTTTAGGGCCCCGGCGAATTCGATCAGCCTCAATCCGTTATCTGATGAATTTTCCGATATTCGCCCTAAAGATCCCTTCCTTGTCTACCTTGGCATCGAAATCGCCAAGCACGATTTTGACATCATTTCGGGGCAAAGTCGCGATGTACGCTCCCATCGCTCATAGAAGAGTTTCTTGGACGCCTGGTCCTTCTTTTCCGTCGGGCATTTGGCGCAGGTGAGGAAGATGTTGAAGAATCTTGCTTTGATGCCGATTGCGGCTAGACGCTTGTCCACGGCGGTGAACAACAGTACTCGGCGGCGAAAATCCTCTCTCACGACAAATCTAACAAAATTTACGCTCCTTAAATGGCAGCTGTAGTAGACGTCAGAAGGCCCCAGAAATTTTTTTACTTTGACATACTTGTCCATCTTTGTAAGTATGTATTAAGGTGATCCTACATCTACTTTTGTGTGGGACACCGCTTTATTTTAGTATAAAATGTAGGCATCCGCAATAAGTTAGCCATTTTAAAATAACTTTAACGGGTTCCCACCAGGCTTTGAAGTATTAAATTTTATTAAATTTTACATATTTTGTTAAGATATAAGAAAATGAATTTTGAGTTGAGGAAGTCCTCGTATTTTTTTCAGTGAAAAATGCTCTACTTATTCTGAAACAAATGACAGTCTTTGGAGCTTTATATTGCATGATGAATACATTTGACGATGACACTGAATTTGTATAAATAATAAATAAATACTGTATATATCGCAATAGATCTCTGGTGCATAAGTATACACTAGGGATGCCAAAAAATGAGGGAAATTGCCATCCCGGGATTATGGGATGTTTTATAACTAATCCCGGGATCCCGGGATTTTTCCCGGGATTCACATTGAGTCATAACTTTTATGAATATGAGGAAAAATTCAATATCTTTGAAAGCATTTGAACATACCATGAAGTTAAACTATTTAAAATTTACGATAAACTGACTGTAAAATTCACATATCGCTAGCTTAGAGTGAAAAGTTGCTAACTTCACTTTTTATGAAAAATCATATATTGACACAGGAGGCTAGGAAAATTAAAAATGCATCTTTTCGAGAGGGGTAAAGGTCCTAGTTTTATGTTTTCTCATTTATATTCAGTGAAAGGAAAATTTGGTTAGTCCAAAAAAGCCCTGAAGATTCGATAAGGCCAAAATAGTCCGAAATCTTTTAATAAAGATCGAATCTCTCTGATTCGTATGGAGATTTGCTTTGCTTTAAACAGACAAAATCTTGCATTCAAAGTTTTGCGAAATACTTGAAGAAAATGGCTATAAGAAGTTTTTTCCTCATCTTCCAATTTTTAAATGGGGACTTAGCAACTTTGCACTCTAAGCTAGCGATATTTATTAAATCAGACAAATTTTTAAATTGCATTTAAAAAATCATGTGATTGAGGAACGTAATGTAATGTTAATACCAGGTAATTTTGGAAGTAATGATTAATAAAAAAAAAAATTAAACAAAAATATACAAAAATAATTTATCTAAACATGCCTATTCTACTCTATAAAGAAATGGTGAATGCCGAAATTTTTGCCATTTTTTCGCAATTTATTCGAAATTTTGAGGGTGTACGAGTCAAATGGATATCAGAATCGGATTCAGCGGGTCAAAATACATGTTTGTAGGTGGGCCTGGTTAAAAACACACAGCCCTTTTTTGTATTGTTGGTGTTGTTATAATTGCACTTAAAATGCTTTCGTAAGAGCAGCGAAACATTCAAAGCGGAGTCTTCTTATCTTAACCTGATGTTTTTACATGCAAAACCTACTGATGAGAAACATATGTATTTATTTCGGCCTCAACACTTTTAGGCTAAACTGTCAAAAGGTAGTCATAAGCCATTTGAAGATAATGACCCCTATCTCCTGGATTACAAAACATTTGAACTTCTTCTACCAGCACGTCGGACAAATTATAAGTTTCTCGATTTGAGGAAGTTTTGAGTAGATTGATGTAAACTAACTACTAACTAACTAACTTTTCCTAAAACTCTGTTTAGTTTACATTAGCGACGCTATGAGTAAATTCATTTAAATCCGGGATTTTCGGGATACACATATGTATGTAGTACATTAATATATATTAGAAATTTATGCTTTATCCATTTTCTTTTTGGTACTTAATTCAGTTGACATTTAATTTTTTCTTAACCTTCATATTTCACAGGTATGAGCCGGGGCGACGTGATCTAAATGAGTGCCGCTACAACCAGAACGAAGGATATGTGATTTTCTCTGCAATGGGCTCATTTTTCATTCCAATGGCTGTTATGATTTATGTTTATGCGAGAATTTCATGCGTCGTTGCATCGCGCCATGACCATATGGCAGACATAAGTGTACATAATAAGGTGAGTAAAGTGTAAGCAACAATAAAAGGCTTGTTAAATAGCGAACAACTCAAAGGAAGATTTATTTCATCTTGTTTTTCTTGCGATTGCGCTCCACAAATAATAAGTGTAAGCAACAATAAAAGGCTTGTTAAAAAGCGAAAAACTCAAAGGAAGATTTATTTCGTCTTGTTTTTCTTGCGATTGCGCTTCAGAAATAATATTTTTTTTTGTCATTGCGTAAACCTTTCACTTTATTCACTTGCATTTAAATCAGTTGAGGTTTGAAAGTTTACATGGAGTGTCGCAAAAATTTGTACCATAATACCCCCATAAAGAAAGCAGGAACTTTTGAATGCAATGTACGTAAGTTTTTACATTCGACCATACTGAAAAAAAATTCGCCGTATCCCCTGAGCATAGTGTATTAGTATATTTCGAAATAAATTTTTTTTTTCCGGTTGCCCTTTTACATTTTTCATCATATCTTCGGCATTTACAGTCGAATCTTAAAGTATTATAAAGACATATATCGGTGTTCTTGTCTCGAGGAGAAATGTTTTTGTTTTGTTCGAAAGTTCATTGATATAGTGTATGTATATATTACATATCTATCTACTACATCTCCTTAAGAGGATTGAAAGTAACACCGTGCGAGACTAAAAAATACCTGTTATGTATATTTTCTGGTAGGTCTTTTCGAGTGTTTACTATAAAAAACGGAAGAAAGTCTAGTGAGTTATTAAATTTTTAGTGCAAACAAAATTTTTGTAAAAATATTATTTTTGGCTATACAAATCAAGAATGTTTTCTTGTCCGTTCTGTTTTTTAATTTTACGTTTTCTATCATACCAAAGTATGGCCATCCCGAGAGCCGCATCAAATAGGCTGTTTTAAACGTCCCATTGGTTAAAGCTGAAAATGTTGTCCTAACACCACTACATTTAAAGCTAGGATATATGAAACTATAGGGGTATTCTTGGAGTCTTGCAAAGCCTTGCCAACCGTGCAATCAGAGCAAGGGCTGTGAAAGACTCCGAGAATACCACTCATTTGTAAAAAAATTTGATGTAAATAGCGACGCTTTTTGTCATCTTAAATGTTCCAAAAATTAGGTGAAGCCAAAATGAAAGGAGGTATTAATTTTTTATTCTCCCATCTATTACTTTTTCATCGGTTTTATCTCTTTTTATGAATTTTAGCTATTTTCATAGGACCTAAAATTCGTAAAACTATGAACAAGCTAAGCTGTGTAGAAAAACGTGCGTGGAAGAGTTTTTAGCTTCTTCTTCTTTCTTTATTGGCGCTGTAACCGCCTAAGCGATTTTGGCCGAGTCCAAAAGCCAAGTCCTTCTCCACCTGGTCTTTCCAACGCAGAAGAGACCTTCCTTTTCCTCTGTGAACAGCATCGCGGCCCGCGTTGAACACTTTCAGAGCAGGAGCGTTTCTGTCCATTCGAACGACATGGCCAAGCCAGCGGAGCCGCTGAATTTTATATCGTTGTAATGCTCATACGGCTCATCGTTAAATCGTCTTCGGTATTCGCCATCGCCAACGCGTAAAGGTCCGTAAATCTTTCGCAGAATCTTTCTCTCTAAAACTCCAAGAGCCGCTTCATCAGATGTTTTCATTGTCCAAGCCTCCGCGCCATACACCAGCACACGCATGATGAGTGACTTATAGAGTGTGATCTTTGTACGACGAGAGACGGCTTTACTTCTCAATTGCCTACTCAGTCCAAAGTAGCACTTGAGGTCAAGAGTGACTTTCCGTTGCATTTCAACGCACATTATTATTGGTGTTAATGCTGGTTCATAAATAAACGAAGTCGTCTACTTTTTGAAACTTGTAACTGACAACAGTGACGTGAGTGCCAAGCCGCGTACGCTCTGACTGTTTGTGTGATGACAGGAGATACTTTGTTTTGTCCTCGTTCACCACCAAACCCATTCGCTTTGCTTCGCTATCCAATCCCGAGAAGGCAGAACAGACGTAGCCCTTGTTTTTACCCATCATATGGATGTCGTCGGCATACGCCAGCAATCTTATTATCTTCTCTAACATCAGATTAAAGATATCAAACGAGAGGGAGTCATCTTGTCTGAAACCTCGTTTGGTATCAAACAGCTCGGAGAGGGCCTTCCCTATTCTGATACACATTTTACTCAGCCGTATTAGTTTCGCGGGGATATCAAATTCAGACAGAGCGGCGTACAGGCAACTCCTTTTAGTGCTGTTAAAAGCGGCTTTAAAGCCGACAAATAGGTGGTGAGTGTCGATCCTTTCCTCACGGGTCATTTCCAAGATTTGGAGTATTGTGAATACCTGATATATTTTGAATTTTCCAGGCCTAAAGCCACACTGATAAGGTCCAATCAGTTCGTTGACGGTGAGATTCAGTCTTTTGCACAANGCTCATCGTTAAATCGTCTTCGGTATTCGCCATCGCCAACGCGTAAAGGTCCGTAAATCTTTCGCAGAATCTTTCTCTCTAAAACTCCAAGAGCCGCTTCATCAGATGTTTTCATTGTCCAAGCCTCCGCGCCATACACCAGCACACGCATGATGAGTGACTTATAGAGTGTGATCTTTGTACGACGAGAGACGGCTTTACTTCTCAATTGCCTACTCAGTCCAAAGTAGCACTTGAGGTCAAGAGTGACTTTCCGTTGCATTTCAACGCACATTATTATTGGTGTTAATGCTGGTTCATAAATAAACGAAGTCGTCTACTTTTTGAAACTTGTAACTGACAACAGTGACGTGAGTGCCAAGCCGCGTACGCTCTGACTGTTTGTGTGATGACAGGAGATACTTTGTTTTGTCCTCGTTCACCACCAAACCCATTCGCTTTGCTTCGCTATCCAATCCCGAGAAGGCAGAACAGACGTAGCCCTTGTTTTTACCCATCATATGGATGTCGTCGGCATACGCCAGCAATCTTATTATCTTCTCTAACATCAGATTAAAGATATCAAACGAGAGGGAGTCATCTTGTCTGAAACCTCGTTTGGTATCAAACAGCTCGGAGAGGGCCTTCCCTATTCTGATACACATTTTACTCAGCCGTATTAGTTTCGCGGGGATATCAAATTCAGACAGAGCGGCGTACAGGCAACTCCTTTTAGTGCTGTTAAAAGCGGCTTTAAAGCCGACAAATAGGTGGTGAGTGTCGATCCTTTCCTCACGGGTCATTTCCAAGATTTGGAGTATTGTGAATACCTGATATATTTTGGATTTTCCAGGCCTAAAGCCACACTGATAAGGTCCAATCAGTTCGTTGACGGTGAGATTCAGTCTTTTGCACAATATAAGACCTTATAACCTATGCTTCTTCCGCGCTAGTTGGCGCGAATAGCGGGATCGCCTTTCTTGTGGATTGGGCAGATCACACTTAAATTCCAGTCGTTGGGCATGCGTTCATCTGACCATATTCTGCATAAGAGTTGATGCATACACCTTATCAACTCCTCGCGACCGTACTTTAATAGCTCATCTGGCAGGCTGTCAGCTCCAGCAGCTTTGTTGTTTTTCAAGCGCGCTATCGCTATTCGCATCTCGTCATAGTCAGGTGGTGGAACATTGACTCCATCGTCATCGACTGGGGGCTCGGGTTCTTCTTCTCCAATAATTTCGGCGCTGCTACCATTCATTAGGGTGGAAAAGTGTTCCCTCCATAATGTAAGTACATTCTGGACATCGGTCACTAGGTCGCCATTGTGGTTCTTACAGGAGTTCGCCCTGGTCTTGAAACCTTCCGGAAGTCGCCCAACCCTCTGGTAAAATTTTCGGGGGTTTTTCCTGTCGGCTAGCATTTCAAGCTCATGGCACTCACGTATTTCGGTATATCTCTTCTTATTGCGGCAACTGCGTCTCGCTTCCTTCTTCAGTTCCGTATAACGGTCCGCCCGATCGCAGCGTGGCCCTATAAGCGGCTACTTTTTTCTCTGCGGCTTCTTGACATTCCTCATCGTACCAGTTGTTCTTTCGGGATCGCTGAAATCCAACTACTTCTTCGGCGGCGGCACTTAATGATCGGGAAATGCGGTTCCACTGCTCGCTTATGTAGGATTGTTGAAGAGTGCTTTTNCTTCTTGACATTCCTCATCGTACCAGTTGTTCTTTCGGGCTCGCTGAAATCCAACTACTTCTTCGGCGGCGGTACTTAATGATCGGGAAATGTGGTTCCACTGCTCGCGTACGTCGGATTGTTGAAGAGTGCTCTCAGAGAGCAGGTGTGTGAGTCGAGTGGCGAATAAATTGGCCGTCTGTTGTGATTGCAGCTTTTCGACGTTAAGCTTTCCTTGCATTGTTGGGCGCACATTTTTTGCTGCACAGAGGCGCGTGTGTATCTTTGCTACAACAAGATAGTCCGAGTCCATGTTTGGCCCTCGGATTGTATGTACGTCTAAAACGCTGGAAGCATGCCTTCCGTCTGTCACAACATGATCGATTTGGTTTCTCGTTTTTCGATCTGGAGACAGCCATGTAGCTTGGCGGATGTTCTTAGGCTGGAACCTAGTACTACATACTAACATGTATCGGGCCCCGGCAAAGTCGATCAGCCTCAGTCCGTTATCGGACGTTTCGTCGTGGAGGCTGATTTTTCCGACAGTGGCGCCAAAGATCCCTTCCTTGGCCACTTTGGCATTCAAATCGCCAAGCACGAGTTTGACATCGTGTCGGGGCAGAGCTGATATGTACGTTCCAAGCGCTTATGGAAGAGATCCTTGGACGCCTCTTCCTTCTCTTCCGTCGGGGCATGGGCGCAGATGAGCGAGATGTTAAAGAATCTCGCTTTGATGCGGATTGTGGCTAGACGTTCGTTCACCGGGCTAAACGCCATTACCCGGCGACGGAGTCTCTCTCCTACCACGAATCCCACACTGAATTTGCGCTCCTTTACGTGGCAACTATAGTAGGCTTCACGCTTAGTTTTCCTTGCCCCGTCCATCGCATTACGTGGATGGCGGTGATGTTAGTCTTTGTCTTCCCGAGGACATCAACCAGCCGTGCAGAGG